AAAGGATAAAACAACATTGTACATGCTGTTCAGAGCAGTTGACGAATCATTTTTCGAAAAGATTGCTGGTTCGACTACATCGAAGAAGGTGTGGGACACGCTCAAAAAGGATTTCAAAGGAGCAGATAGAGTCAAACAAGTTCGATTGCATACTCTTCGAGGAGAAATGGAGAGGATGAAAATGAAGGAGACATAGTCCGTATAGGACTACATCACTCATGTGCAGATGGTGGCAAACCAACTCAATCGAAATGAAGAAGCAATGACTGATGCCCGTATTGTCGAAAAGATTATGAGATCTTTGACAGACAAGTTTGAAAACATAGTATGTGCAATAGAAGAGGCGAAGGACCTTTTGACAATCATTGTCGAAGAAGTGGCTGGTTCGCATGAGGCACATGAACAGTGCAAAATAAAGAAGAAGGAGGAGACACTTGAAGATGCAGAACCCAACAGAGATGAAAAGGCACTTTTATCTCAAAATTAGCGTGGGAGAGGACATGGTCGTGGAGGACGTAATGGTGGTCGAAGTTACCAAAATAACAACTTCGACAGAGGACAGTCAAGCCAACAAAATTGGCGTGGCAGAGGACATTGCCAGAGAGGTGGTAGATCGAATTACAACAATATCGAATGTTACAAATGTAACAAACAAGGGCACTTTGCGAAATATTACAACTCCTACAGTTGCTACAACCGTGGTAAAATGGGACATGTTGAAAAGACTGTCGACTCAGAAGAAAGGTAGAAGAAACAACAAATCTTGTCCTAGAAATAATATCAAATAAAGGATTTATGTTAATGACTCAAAAGGAAGCAGATGCAGAAAATGACACTATGTGGTACCTGGACTCAGGAGCAAGCAACCATATATGTGGTCATAAGCACTTGTTCAAATGAATAAATAAAATTGAAGATGGTCATGTTTCCTTTAGAGATGCGTCGAAAGTAAGGGTCGAAGAAAAAAGAATAATCAGTTTCTTGCAGAAGGATGATTTATTAAATCTATCCAAGATGTGTATTATATACCAAACCTCAAAGCACATATTTTGAGTCTGGGAAAAATGATAGAAAAGGGCTATTTGATTCTCATGGAAGATCGAAGCTTGCACTTAAAAGACAAGTTAGGACGTGTGATTGCTCAAGTCGAAATGGGGAGAAATCGAATATACAAGTTGAATTTAAGAAGCATTCGAGAAAAGTGTTTGCAAGTCAATGTCGAAGACCAAGCATCCCTGTGGCATCTACATTTTGGTCATCTACACCAAGCTGGACTAAGGAGGTTTGCAAATAAAAATATGGTGCATGGACTTCAATACGTAGAATTCGAAGGAAAGTTCTGTGAAGAGTGTGTGTTTGGCAAACAGACGAGAATTTCATTTCAACCGAAGGTAAAATATCAGGCCAAACAAATTCTAGAATTGATTCACACTGACATATGTGGACCAATTACCCCAGAATCCTTTAGTGACAAACAATACTTTATATCCTTTATTGATGATTACTCAAGGAAAACTTGAGTGTATTTTCTGAAAGAAAAGTTAGAAGCCTTCGAAGTATTCAAGAAGTTTAAGATAATGATAAAGAAAGCAACAGACAAGCGCATCAAAGCTCTTCGATCAGATAGAGGTGGGGAGTATACTTCGATAGCTTTTATGAATTACTGTGAAGAACAAGGCATAAGGAGATTTCTGACTGTAGCATACTCACCTCAACAAAATGGTGTGGCGGAAAGGAAGAATTAAACAGTCCTTGAAATGGTTCGATCAATGTTGAAGAGCAAAAACATGTCGAAGGAATTTTGGGCAGAAGCTGTACAATGTGCAATCTATGTTCAAAATAGATGTCCACATTCAAAGTTGGGAGATTTAACACCTCAAGAAGCTTGGAGCAGAAAAAAGCCAACTGTGTCTCACTTCAAAGTGTTTGGAAGTGTGGCTTAATCACATGTGCCTAATCAAAGAAGAACAAAATTGGAAGGTAAGAGTAAGAAATATATACTCATTGGATATGATGAGAAAATGAAAGGTTACAAAATTTTAGACCTAATAAACAAAAAGGTGATAGTAAGTAGAGATGTTCGAGTAAACCAAGAAAGCAAGTGGGACTGGAACAACTCAACTGAAGTTGTGATCGAAGTACCAAATGCTATATCGAAAGACACTTTGACAGAACCAGAAAACTCTGATGATGAAGATGGACCCTCACAGCCCAGGTTGCGAAATTTACAAGACTTGTATGAAAACACAGAAGAAGTGCATCTCGTATGCTTGTTGGCAGACACTAAAGATGTCAGTTTAGAAGAAGCAATAAGAAACAAAAATTATAAGGATGCTATGAATGAAGAAATCAAGGCCACCGAACGCAATGATACTTAGGAACTATCAGAGTTACCAAAAGGAAGTCAAACAATTGGTGTAAGGTGGGTGTTTAAGAAAAAGATAAATGCACAAGGTGAAATCGAAAGATACAAGGCGCGGATTGTGGAGAAAGGATACAGGCAGAAAGTAGGAATCGATTATGATGAATTCTTCGCATATGTTGTGAGAATGGAGACAATTCGACTTCCCATATCTCAAGATGCTTAATACAAATTAAAAATACATCAGATGGATGTCAAGTCAGCCTTTCTGAATAGCGTGCTCGAAGAAGAAGTTTACATCGAACAACCCCCTGGATTCATAAAAATTGAAAATTAAAGAAAGGTATTAAAACTAAAGAAGGAACTTTATGGGCTGAAGCAGGCACCACGAGCATGGAATACTCGAATTGACACATACTTCAAATAAAATGGATTTCAGAAATGTCCCTACGAACATGCCCTGTATGTGAAGAAGAAAAAAGATATAATATTGCTTGTTGCTCTCTATGTTGATGATTTAATTTTCTTGGGAAACAACAATCAGATGATCGAAGAGTTCAAAGGCACAATGACACAAGAATTGAGATGACTGACTTAGGCCTGATGAAATACTTTCTTGGTATGGAGGTTCAATAAGAAGAAACATGATTCTTCATATCACAAGAAAAATATGCAAAAGATATCCTGAAAAGATTTAAGATGGATAACTGCAATCCCATTTCGACACCAATGGATCCAGGAGCAAAGCTTTTGAAGTTTGATGGAGGAGAGCGTGTCGAAGCAAACAAATTTTGAAGCTTGGTGTGAAGTCTTTGATACCCCACATGCACAAGGCTAGATATTTCATTGAGTGTTAGAATTGTGAGTCGTTTCATGGAAGAACTAGTTGTTGCACACTGAAAAGCTCTGAAGAGAATCCTTCGATATGTCCAAGGAAATGTGTCACTTGGAATATTTTATTCGAAAGCAGAAGAATACAAATTGGCTGGCTACTCTGACAACGATTGGTGTGGTGACATTGATGATCGAAAGAGCACTTCAGGATATGTGTTCTTCATGGGAAACACTGCCTTCACCTGGCTGTCAAGGAAGCAACCCATAGTAACTCTGTCGACCTGTGAAGCAGAGTATGTGGCAACATCTTGGTGCGTATGCCATGCAATATGGTTGAGAAGATTGTTGAGCAAGATGGAAACGAAACAAGAAGATGCAACAATAATTCAAGTTGACAACAAATCTGCAATCGAACATGCGAAGAATCCAGTCAACCATGAACGAAGCAAGCACGTTGATGTTCGATTCCATTTTATTCGAGAACATGTGAAAGATGGAAGCATCGAACTGAAGCATGTTGCGAGCAAGGATCAAGCAACATACATTCTCACAAAACTACTATCGAAGGAGCTATTCGACAGAGGGAAGAAAATGTTAGGCATGATGGATCGAAGGAACATTTGAATTTATGGGGGAGTTTTGTTGGTTAAATTCAAATCAGTCTTGGGTAATGCAAAAGATAGATTCCCTTGGGCAGTGGGAAGTTTATTCCTTTAGGGAACTAGAAATAGTTATTGCTGTAAACTCTTAATATTCTATATTGTGATCCTATATAAATCACATTGTATCTCATAATGAAAATTAGTTGGACAATTTTATAAAGAAAGAAAATTCAAAGTCCACTCTCATTTCTCTTCTATTTCTTCAGAATTTACTTGCTAAATCTGCCACGTGACCTCAACTTGACCATTCACCATTGCCAAAAATCAGTCTCTTAAACTAACATGTATCTGCTGGAGAATGTCGATATCTCTTAAAATTTCCTCGTTAAACATAATTATATTTCACATTCTCTAGACCAATCAATAAACAACAATTAGAATTTTTTTTTAAACTTTCCTTGAATTTTCCTTTGATCAACCTATTTGTTAGATGAGAGAACTTAAGCTCCATTGATGAACATGTTTATGCATGTAAGAGAAAGGAAGATCATGCATAGAGATGATTAAGCTTTTCTTGATTCTTTTGTGTTATTTTCATCATCACACATAAGCCATGGCTTAACATATTTATACAAGGGATATAGTTAGTTATTTTCTAACTAACTTAATGAGCCATCTAACTACCTTACCATACACCTTCACTCATTACCTATATTACATTCTAATACTCCTCTTCAAACTCATGAGGGTTTGCTAAAAATAATCTTGAGTTTGTCTCTAAAGTTATCAAGGAGGAGGGATAAGAGAGGCTTGATAAAAATGTCAGTTAACTGAGCTTGAACTGGAACATGTTGAATCAGTAACTTGCCTGTCACAACACGTTCACGAACAAAATATATGTCAAGCTCAATATTTTTCCTACACGTTCACGAACAAAATATATGTCAAGCTCAATATTTTTCCTACATGCATGTAATATGGGATTATGATGTAATATGGGATTATGAGACTAAATATTAAGATAAGATAGTAAATACGTAGACATTAACAGTTTCATTATTATTTCATATTAGTTCACAGGAATACAGTTCACAAGATACACATAAACATAATTAAAACACTTTATTTTTATTACTTTTATTATTACCCATAAACACACACATACATATTATATGTATATATGTATTTTAGAGAAGCCCCATTCAATTTCCAATCCTGGCTCCAGTGTCGAACTTGGCCTTTCCGAATTTCTGAGTTCCTCCAAATGAGTTGTTGAATGCATTTTTGGTTCCGTTGTTACGGTGGGTAGTGTAACCTCCATTGGTAACTTTTGCACCAGTACTGAACTGAGCCTCATCGTATTCTTGTGTGCCACACTTGTTGTTAAAGGCATCAACAGTTCCATTGTTTCCACCATCGTTCCCACCAAAGATATTCCTGAATAAACCAGCCATCTTATAGTATATGATATGATCTCTTTCAATATATACTTGAAATGCTTTGTTTTGTGTTGATGTTTGTTCCTAACTGAGACTAACATTATATAGATGCATAAAGTTACTATGTTATAAAGAGGATCTGATGCTATAATTGTTTCCTTCAATATGAAGCTTTCAATTATTGGATTTTATTGTCCAGTGCCTTATTTTGTTTATTTCATAATTATGTTTACATAAAAAGTTATGAGATAATTTATAAATTATACATAATTGACGATATGATAAAAAAAATTATTCTTTAGAGTTCATTTTGCTTTGCCATAAAACACTACTTAAGAATTTTTAATATTTTTAATATTATTAATAAAAATATTATTTTATAAATCATCTTATAATTTTTGTTTTCTACATAGAATAATGATATCTTTAATTTGTTTAAATGACCAAAATGGGGTTAGGATATTGTTTAAATTTAAAACAATTTCTTTATTAACGATTTATAATTTAAAATGGAAGTAGTTGTCTTCTTAAATTTAAAAAAAATTACAAATAAAACTAATAGAGAAATTATTATCCATATAATAGTATTAAAATATAATTAAGTAAAAAATATTCTAATAATAATTACATTTAATTTTTTGTTATCTTAAAAGACAATGAAGAAGTATAAAGTATTTGTTCGCTTTGGTGAGGATAAATATTGATATATACCAATTGAGGCATATTTAGCGATAAGATCAAATAAAATGATAGCAATTGATGAATCCAATTCCAAATGTATTTAAGTAGGATAGATCTATTTTGGGCTTGATTAAAGATTATATAGGCTAAGTGTTGGAACAAGTGAAAAACTAAGTGTTAGGTATATACAAGTGGGTTGGTAGTGAATTGAGAAAATCAGCCTTTTTCTGGAAAAAGAAATCTCAGATTTTTATCTAAGAAGTTTGATATAAAAGAAGCTCAAAACTTAAGCAATATTAAAGTTGATGAACTCATTTTTTATTTACAAACCTTTGAGTTGGCTATAATTGACAATAAGTTTGAAAAGAAGAATAAAGATGTAGTTTTTGTATCCAATATTAAAGAAGATGAAGATTAATATAACAAAATCCATCAGATGTTATAACTTTTATTGGTAGAAATTTTAACAAAATATTGAAGAGACTAGACAAAAGATGGAGGACAAATGTCGAAGATAAAGTGTCTGACAACTTAAAGAACATTGGTTTCAGCGCAAGAGCAAAGATGAAGATAAATCCAACAAAGGAAAATGAATACAATGTCTTGAATGTGAACGTTTTGGTCACATTAAAGCTGAATGTGCTATATTTTTAAAGAAACGGGAAAATGAAATATAATTCACTTGATCTAATTCTGATGATTAGAGTGAAGAGGAAATAACTAAAAAGATGATGACTTTTTACTGAAAAATATGAATCTGGTAGTGAGTCTAATGATGAAGAAATCACTGATGAAGAGTTGACTGAAACATACAAACTTTTGTACAGTCAGTAGAAGGAAACATGTATGATAGGAGAGAAATAGAAGAAACTATAAGTTATATTCTTATGGAAAAAAACTTGTTTCAACCGTCACTGTCTAGAAGAGGAGACCACCCTTTTAAATTCTAAACATGAAAATATGACAAATTCACTTCTTATGTTAAACAATGGTTCTAATATGTTACATTAAATCTTAGAAGTTGGAAGATGTCTAAGAATATGAAGGGAATAAGATTTGATTACAACTCCATGAACAAAAAAAAAATTCAAATTCTCAGCATGAAGTTTGTTTCCCTTCAGAAGAAGATTGAGTTTTTAATGTTAGACTTTAAGTATTGAATGCACAACCTAAAATGGAGGTGAATTATAAATTTAAATTTTTTAAAGAAAAGTAACAAATTTTTGTCTTGCAATTTTACTAGTTTTTTTTATAGTTAAAAACTTTCATTAAAAATAATTTGAAGTTTTTTTATTACAGTTTTAAAATAAATGATTTTGCATGACAAAAGCAATCTTTAGCGTAAAATAGATCATGCTTATATATTGGAGTTAATAGGTAATGACTTAAGGAGTTTATATGATAATTAATATTAAGATACAAATTCAACCAAATATACAAATATAAGAGTGTTTGAATGATTGTCAAAATTACACGAGAAGTGTGATTTCACAACACCAACACTATTCAGATTCTAAAATCACAATTATCAGTTTATCTACGACAAGACACAATCGAATTTCCAATTCTATTACAATCTCATACAATGCATCTCTTGCATTCATTTTTCTTCCTCTTTCTGACTTTCATCAACCACTCTTAATTTGAAATTTCCAACCCCCCACACATAAAATTTGTTTTCCAGATCCACACTCCCTCTTTCATAATTTTGTTTTTTTACGAATCCTTAAAATTGAATTGTGATATTAATTGAGAATATTATCCTTTTCTTGTTTATCTAGTTTTTATCTGACTTGAAATTCATGAAATCAGAGAGGTTGTTGAAATGTTGATTCCCATGATAAATCTTTAAAGAGAAATAAATAGTTGAGTATTGTTGTCATTTTATTTGAGATTTGAGAATATTGGAAAATTTTAATTTATAAAATCACTCTTCCATCATATTTGCAAGGGCCGTATGGGGTGGGATCTAAGAACTTCTCATCAAAGTTTTAGTACACGTAGGACCTTTTAAATCCCTCACAACATCTTAAAAATTGAAAACTCCATCCAATTTAAAAATAAATGAGTGCCAACTATAGCAACATTGTGTTAGACCTGAATCAAAAAGCTTTAATGATTCAAGGATTTGGACCAATTCTATCTAAGAGAAGAGGAATGTGTGAAGAAGGAACTGATCTTGTTTTCCACTGCTACAAGAAACTAATTGGGGAAAGGAACTTCCACAAAGGTTATGCTTCTAGGCTATCTACTTCACTCAAATCATCCTCAAAAACAACACATGATAATGAAAGTCATAGGTCTCCTACATTATGAACAACGAGTGGAAATTGGATACCTGTTGTAATAGTTATTTTGTAGTTGTGATATGGTGGGAGAACTGACTTGAAGGTTTTGCGTTTAATCGCAAATATTACGGTTAGCAAAAGTCGCTGCCGACTTTTCTTTTGTCCAAAAAAGAAAGGTGAAAAAGCACAGGAAAGACCTTTGAGATTGTTTCTTGAGTTCGGGGGATAGATTATGAAAAGGGAAGGTATTAGCACCCTTTTCATCCATGGTTTTCCATGGGCTCTTAGTTACTTGCTAGATCACTTGCTTTTGTTTTGAAATTGTGCTTTGTGTGTTTTTTTGAAAGTATTTTGTAAAGAGGCTATTGTTTAGGCAATCTTTGTAATGATTCTCGTTCGTAAGAATGTATACAAAGATGTTGATCTTTTGAAAATGTTTTCAATTTTGTAAGATGTTTTAAAGTGTATGTGATTGTTTTGAAAATAGCAAGGATGTTTATTTTAAAATTGAGCAAGCAATTAGGAGCAATCTACCTACTCAAATGTCTTTCTTGTTCATTTTCTTTTTCTTTGACATTGTTGCCTTACCATTGATTTGGTAAGCAACCCTATCTTTGGATGTAAACGGGACGGGCGTGGGTCATCGTATAGCCATGATTAGAAATATTGCAAGATATCTTAGCATTCTTTAAGGGCTAAGATAATTTGTAAGGCAACTTAGATAGCGTCATCGAGGGACTATGATCTTGTATTCATTTGTTTTTGCTAAGATACCTCACATGCGTAATATGACCATTTTTGTAAGGCAACCAAGTGGAGTAACCCTAGGGGTGCTTGGGTGCAAGTGTGTTGTTTTCATGATTGTTTTTGTCTTGAATTAGGGTTTTCTATTTGATTGATTTTATTCTTTCCATACAAACCCTAATTACTAGCATTTGTATATAAAACGATAAATTGTGGAAAGTAAAAATTACTACGCTATTACATCATTTAGGGGAGGGGGTGTACAAATTGAATGAGGATTGCAAGAATGTAAACCTAGTTAATCTATTACAACCAAATTGAATGGGTATTAATGTGCAAGGAATTAAAATAAGTAATGTACAAAATGAATAAGTGCACAAAAATGCAAAATATAAAGAAAATGGGTCTTTGTTTGATTTTCATGAGAAAGAGGGAAATTGTTTTAACCTAATTAGTTTAAATAAAATAATTAATTAAGTTTAAATTTATTAAGAAAAGATTTTGAATAAAACCCTAATTCTATTTAGTTGATTAAAAGAAAACAAGTTTAGAAAAAAGTTTTTTTTTGTTGGTATTTTTGTCTTGAAAATATTTATGGCATCATAAAATATTTTTAGTCTTTTTTATATCAAAAATAATATATTTTAATAGGTGTAAAAGAAAAATAAATATTAACCTAATTTTAATTAAATTTACAAGGTGATTTGTAAAAAAAAGTATAGTTAATAAAAATATTTTTTGGTGAGAAAAATAAAATAAACTAAATTAAAATGAAGATAAATTTTTTTTATATTTTTTATGTTTTTTAATATTAGTGAAAACTAATTAAGAAAAACAAATAAAATAAAAATAAGAAAATAAAATAAATTGGGCCAGGGGTGCATAAGCAGGTAGGGAGGTCAGCTAGCAAAAATAAAAACAATACCAGGCCCAAAGGGCTCAGTGCCTGCAAAAAAATGTTAGAAAGTAAAAAAATATGAAAAATGGGAAAAGGGTACCACTGGGGCTCGAACCCAGGTCCCATAGGTTAACAGGCCCGCGCTTTACCACTGGGATGGCTATACATCTGTTAACTTGTATGAAATAATAAATACATAACATAAAACGCGTCTTGATTGTACTTCATCTTCAACCTCCAGCCAAAGGATCTGTAACTTGCTCATTTCTCAACCATTTGCAAAAATGCAAACATGAGAATTGCTCTATTTTGTCACATGAATCCAAACATATAAATATCATAAACTATAAATCAAAGATGAATGAGAATTTTTAACAGTACCAAATTCTGACCTAAATATTTCA